TATCAATGAATCAATGCAATCAACTGGTTTTCCGTAGATAGAGAACATTGAATCAATTTGACTGTATGATCTGGTGAACTGGAAAGTGCCTTGAGTTGACATGTGTTGTGAATTGGCGCTATTTAAATAAACTGAATTGAATTGAATTTAGTTCGAGCCAGGGTTTTGAAGCTTGAATACCCCCAGTGGGCCAACACCTATGATATGGCAGATATCATAGGTGTTGGCATAACGTTCTCGCTTGGAATTTTAGGATGTATATAATAAAGTGCTGTTAATTGCATTATTATAATTTTTTTTGATGTCTTAAAAGGTTTTCTAATTAATAAATCAAAACTAACATGTTAAAGTCCCAGCCCTAGTATTTGCATTTGCCTCTTTGTTTCCTCCAGTGTAAAAAGTCTCTGTCTGACACCTGGGCCTTGTTTATGAGGCTGAAAGAAGAGGGGGAAAAACTGTTTTTGTAGCTTCTCATTTTGGTCCTGATTGACCACAGCCTTCTGGCAAAGAGGAGAGTCTAGAACAATTTGTGTCCAAGATTAGAGGATTCAGCTGTGATCTTACCTGCTCTCCTCTGGGTTCTGGAGGTGTACAGTTCCTAATTAGAAGGAAGATTGCTGCCATTTAACCTCTCTGCAGAATGAATGATGCACTGCCTTCTTCCTTTGTCCCTGGTGGTGGCAGCAGTGTATGAGATGGTAATGGAGCAGAAGAGGATGGACTTAATGATAGTGGAGTAGAAATGCACCAGCATTGTCTTTGGCAAGGCTAACTTTTGCAACTGCCACATGAAGTACATCTTCTACTGTGCCTTTTTAATGAGGGAGGTGATGTTCTGCTCTCACTTGATCTATGATGGTGCGTAGGAAGCAAATTGAGTCCACAGCTGCGACTGGAAAGTCACACACCAAGTCCACGGCTATCTGCAATGTTTTCTGAGCGTTGGGCTCTAGATTGTTCTTGCTGCACCAGGTAACCAGCTAATTAATCTCCCACCTTTAACCAGACTCATTACCTCCAGAGATGACCCTTAATTAGGATGGTGTTTGCAAACTTCAGTAGTCTGACAGACTGGTGACTATCGCTGCATGTGTTTCTGCGCAGGAATAAAAGCATGTGCCCAAACAAATACCACATGGCAAACCATGAGCCCTAATGTGTTTGTTTCAGTGACTGTTCCCAGATATTGTATATTGGATATCTGCCTTTTATGACTTATTTTAAATGCATCTTTTTATATTTCTTGTAAAAAGGTTTGATATCTGTACTTGCTATGTTTTTTTTGGAAAATGATGTCTGTAATATTTTTGCAGCAACACCGCCAAATATTTTTTTTTTAGAAATATGGTGGAATCATTAGAGCAATAAATGTGTAAAAAAACATCCTTGTAATAACGATAAACTTTGCTGAGGATTTTTGCAGACCCCTAGTGTTGCGGTGATTGTTACTTATGGTGGTTGAATAGTTCTTTCTACTGTTGGTTTAATGCAAGCATCAATAGATAAAAAAAAGTAATGTTGACTGCAATAGTTGCATGTTGTTCAGTTGAGCAAGTGCACAACTCATTGTGGATTATTTCAAAATAAGGTTTTTAATGCATAAAAAGACAGATTTATAGCAAAAGAGATGATTGAATTATTACATTAATTTTATTTTCAACTTTATCTTTAGCACAATAAACAGCACAACATTTTTTTTAAAGATTATTGTTAGGCTCTAGTGGCCTTTATTTTTGTGTTATTTTCAAAAGGACAGAGACAGCAAAGTGTGTTAGAAGAGAGGGGAAAGACATTTGTGAAAGATCAGCAGACCCAGGACTCAGACCTGCGACAGCCGGTATATGGGTCATGCACCCTACCTCCATGCCATAGCAGCACCCCGGCACAAAATATTTTAATAAAACTTCAAAGTCTTGTTGCCTATATCTGATAGGTTAACAGCATAAGTGACAGACATCCTTCACTGGTTTAGTATTCCCATTGAACTGTGTCATTGTGATGTTAATGGATGCTGTATGATCTTTCCACAGGTTCATTAAGAAACTATGGCAAGTCAACGGGATATTCATCTTCATGGAGAGTCTCTTACAATAGTGAAAAGATGTGGAGCACCTTTGTGTGAGATCCTTGACACTAAATTTGGATGTGTGGCCACCATTGTGGGTGTGCAGCAGGAGAACGAGAGTAGCACTCCATATCTGAGACGACCACCAACCGTTCCTCCACAGAAGAGACTTGAAATCATGATGCCTTCTGGTGTAAAGGTGTCTGTGGTGAAGGCTGATCTCACCAACTTCCAAGCTGATGCTGTTGTGAATGCAGCTAATAAAGAGTTAAAGCACATAGGAGGCCTTGCTCGAGCTTTGTCCACTGCTGGTGGCCCTAAAATACAAAAGGAAAGTGAGGATTATGTCAAGAAGTATGGGAAATTAAAAACAGGGGAGGCAGTTGTTTTTGATGCAGGGCTACTACCATGCAAAAAGATCATTCATGCTGTGGGTCCAGAGCTGCCATACTACCCTACAAAGAATAATGTGTTACAGGCAGAACCGTTATTGAAGAAAACTATTTGGAGCATTCTTGACATAGTTGAAAAACACGGTCTGGTGAATGTTGCCATTCCTGCCATAAGCTCTGGATTGTTCAACTACCCACTGCCAGAATGTGCCCACACCATAGTATCCGCTGTTAAAGAGTATTATATGCGGCTGTCCCCTATTAGACCTGTTGCTCAAGAGATCTTCCTAGTGAACCATGATGATCCCACAGTGCAGGCAATTGAAAACGCATGCCATCAGATATTCCATCCTCAACAGCACCAATCCTATAGCCAGGCTGCAGCAAAAAATACCAGGAGCACTGATCCTCAAAACCCACCACCTTCAGTCCAGATTGGAAATGTTGTTCTGAAATTGAAGAAGGGTAACATTGAGGAACAAAAGGTAAGGATTAATCTAAAATCCATCCATCTTCTCCCGCTTCTTCCTTCAGGGACATAGTGGGGCTGGTGCCTATCTCTCCAGCAGTCTATGGATAAACGGTACATCCTGGACAGGTCACCACTCTGTTCCAGGGCTCAATGTAAAATATGTTTTTCGAATTATATAATGATAATAATAATAATTCTATTTTTTGTTTTGTTTAGCATATAATTGTTTAAACTGCATGCATAGCAACTACTAGAAAACATCAAAGTTAGATCAGGGTTTCTTTAAGAAAAAGCAAACCCATTGTTTTGTGCTTGTTTTAAATAGTTATAGCAGAGAAAACTATTTATTGATTGTTGATACTTATTGGCTAATAGTATTTTCTACAGGATGAAAGAATAAAAAAAAAGCTAGGAAGGGACCCTTACAAACACACCTGCTTTCATGATCATTGAGCAACCTGAAAGTATGAGTGCAGGAGAGATTGTTGAGATAAAGAAATGTTGAATATTAGGATGGAATCACTAAGGGAATGGTATACAAAAGTTTAAAAGTTCTTACTGAGCCCCAAAAATTGTGTGTTTCCACAGAATAAAGCAAGAGAGTGTTTTCTTAAA